TTCCAGGTGCCATGGGGCACTCATTGGGCTGTCCAGGTGTGCCCTGTGTACTTAATGTGGGCCAAAAGAAAAATACTTTTTATCCATATTCGTAATCGGTGAATGTCATGTCACCATTAGCGAGATAATAAGAGGTTGTAGTTCGGAAAGTTGGCCCCTTTCCTGTCATTGAGAGGGACGATGTGCTTTTCAGTTTGTGGATGCACTGTTATAATCACGAGCCAATGATGATTTTGCCGATGGTTCTGTACTGCTGGAGTGTCAAACAAAGGAAGTGCCATATCAAATAGGCCCATGCTCAGTTTTTCAGGGAGAGGCTTTCTGAACGACCACTGCATCAACATCATGTGTAGGTTTATTGAGAAGAACAGCAACCCTGCAGAGTCCTTTGCTTGGATAAAGTCGGCTGGTCTGAAAAGTGAAACAGAAGGCTTTCTGTTTGCTGCTCATGATAAATCCCTTCCCACTCGAAACCAAGTACCAAGTACCAAGTTGTCCGACTCCCCATTGTTCTCAGTGCATTAGGTTTGGTACCTCCCAATCTGTTGACTGACATGTGGTACCCGGGTTTGCTGCCAGGAATACAGACCTTCTGACAATCTGGGTGATGCAGAAGGCTTCAGTGTTGGGGAGTCTTCACATTCTCTGAAAAGTTCTGGGTGGGTTCGACTAGGCAGCGCTTCCTGGGAGAAGTCCCATTCGCTGTCTGGGCTGCGTGTAGAGGGGGCAAGGGCCCTGAGCTGTTGATGAGCCTGACCAGTCTGACTGTCAGGATCACCCAAACCCTCTTTGCTGCATTTAGCTATTTTAATCTGATGATATCCATTTTGATAAAGATAGATTGTTTCAGAGATCAGGAGTGGTTATTGGGACCCTTGAAGATCCAGGGTAGAATAGGTCTTCAGCAACCCATGCTTGCCGTAAAAGGCAACTATGCTTGTCTTAAGAGGCGACTAGCGGGATCAGGTGGTCAGACTCGCTGACTTGGTTGAAGCATGTCATCATATCCCAATTTCCTTGATTGATGCTCATGATATCAATCACTGAATTGTCTTGTCCAGACTAGATTATTTACAGACTGCCATCATATAGCTGGAATATTATTGAAGTAGGTGTTAAACAACAAACAAACAAAAGGAGTGGCTATTGGGGTATTTTTACTACTGCATTTGTATTGCAAGAGTTCCCTACACTGTTGCAAAAGTATTGCGCTAATTGTCACCTATTGCAATACTGCAATTGTATTTGATAGTATTAATGCAAAAATGTCCGAGTCCCGTGATGGGATTCGAAACACGGACCTTCTGATCCGAGGTCGGACGCCTTGTCCACATGACCAAAGAGGTTAACCCCGTCAGCAAGCTGACAAGGTAAGGATGTCATCTGTAGGATGATTCCAGGCCCTGCTACATACTCCCCCGTCAACAAAAGGCACGTCCCGGGCCGCATAGTAGGGTACTGAGGCTTATTTTGCTCAAATTTAATATGAACGTGCTCAGCCCCTAGTTGGGCACCAATGTAGCGGCCATAAAATTTCTGAGTCATGTGATGGGATTCGAACCACAGACCTTCTCATCCGAGGTTGGATGCCGTGTCCACATGACCAAAGAGGTTAACCCCGTCAGCAAGCTGACAAGGTAAGGATGTCATCTGTGGGATGACTCCACGCCCTGCCACATTAAACCAACTTTAAAGGCTTGATAATTATATTAATCAATGTAATAGATATTCATAAAGTCAAATGTCAAAGTCGGCCATTTTTCTCCTCGTCATACTGAAATAAAGGGAAGACACTTTTGCTAATCAACAAACATCAGGTTTGAAATTCGAATGTAAAGAGTTTTCTGACACCTAATTTATGTTTTATAACTAATTGCAACTATTGAAACTGTCCATTGTTATTCCTACTTCCTACAATTCCATTGACATTTTTAATTCCTTTCAATAAAGTGGAATTGTAGGGCAAACAGTTGCAAGAGATCAATTGTTTGATATGTCGTATACTCCTGGACTCCTCATACCCAGGTATATTGATCAGGAAGTGTTCGCATGCTTATGTACCATGTGTTTGTCCTATTTATTTGTGGAAGACACTTTCACTGCCTTCATTTAATATACATCAATAAAACAGTGTTTTTGTTAAAAACTATGATTTCTAAGTGTGCCCCATTTGTAAATGTGCTACTTTAATATTAATCATGCCATTGTTATTATTATAGTATACATATATATACCACAGGTATCCAGGTACTAGTATCTGCTTAAATGCGGTTTTATTTGTTCACCGACCAGTGGATCCATTTGCATTCCAGTTATCATTCTCAACTCCCTGGGGAGTAAACAACCCTAGCTGCCTACAGCTAGGTGCTAGAGGGTTTTTACATCTATCTCACATATCGGGTACCCATTCCCTGCTGGGTGAACAGAGGCACATAGGAAATAAGTCACTTGCCCAGGGTGACGCCACACATTTTGACACTGGTGTTATGGGTGTATGGGTGCATTGATCGATGTTCATAATGTCAATCACTGGATGTTCTGGACCATTTTCAATTATATACACACATCTGTCATATAGCTGGAATATTGCTGAGTCCGCATCAACCAACCAACCAACAAACAAACAGTGACTTCACCTGCTTCATCTTCACAGACATTTTCTCGCCTGTGACGGTAATTTGGCTATTTGTAGAATCAAAATAAAACTATTGTCGCAAATTGGTCCATATTATTTATCATATTAATAAAATGCAGATGCAATATTCTGGAGGATCGAGTCTGTGACTCCACAAACCTGTACTAATGACACCTACATGAGTACTGTGATCTTAGAATGATCACAAATATTCAAAACAGTTCATTGACCATGTGGACCATGTGGACCATGTTGATCATGTTGATCATGTGGACCATGTGGACCATGTGGACCATGTTGATCATGTGGACCATGTTGACCATGTGGACCATGTTGATCATGTTGACCATGTTGATCATGTGGACCATGTGGACCATGTGGATCATGTGGACCATGTTGATCATGTTGATCATACTGAGTCATTGTTTATTGTCAGCACTGTTCATGTGCTTTCGTTCTGTTTTTGCTTGTATTGTCATATGATTAATTTCAGCAGACTACAAGTTTTGATGTACCTGGGATATCTATTTTGGGGGCCTTCTCACAGCCTTTATTCATATTACTTGTAGGGGTCCCAGGTTAAGAAATGGGTGTTCCAACAAAAAGAGTGCCCATAGCTTCCAAATGGGGGTCCAAAGCTTCAAAATTGGGGTCCCTAGCTTCAAAATAGGGGTCCCAGAGAAATGTGAAAAAATAATAAAACAATGTTAATTCAAATAAAACAACTTATCCCTGCTTGTTTTCATTTTGTTTGATATGTAATCTCAAATGTTATCTTAACTCATGTTTGTTTGCTAAAATTGCACTTGAAGACACTGATGAACTTGCCCTGCCGAAAATCAAGCACAAATTTTGTTTTGCCATGCTTTGAGGCCTACACTTGACACCCCCTCTTTCAATAGTGAGGAAGTACTCTACCATAAGTGACATACAATTGTGTAAGTTCAGAGGTCGTTTGTTAAAAATAGATATGAAATTCCCCAAAGGAAACAGTCTACAAGTGCCAGCACTAGAAGATCAAGGAGCATTCAAAACCTAAAACAATCCTATTCCCAGTAGATGCACTCTGTATTTTCTTTTGTGTCCCTTGTCAATTTTTATGCATGAAGGGTGGAAGATTTCATGTGCTGTTAATTTCTAAACATTATCGAGGTGAGGTGAGGTGACATGGGGTTTAACGTCGCGTCCAAGATTATTGCACTTATATAGAGACGTGCATGCACGTGTGCGTGTGCGTGTGCGTGTGCGTGTGTGTGTGGCTGCTTGTACTAGTCCGGACTGATGCCGATTTATAGTGCTAAGTACCATCTTTTGCTATGACATGGCTGGGGATCGAACCCTGCACTTTCCGCTCTCCTGGCGGACGCTCTAGACCACGGAGGCGGTCAAACATGATCGATGATATATTACTATTACCCGTACATTTTCAGGGTCCATCACATGCCATTGATTACAGTTACTGTTGGTTTGTTATTAATATTATTGATCATACTTACTGAGAGATGTTGCTGCTATTAGGGCTGGGACGAGTCCAAATTTACTACCCGCGTACCTGCCCCCCTATTACCCGACCCTACTCGAGTACCCACTCTAGGTCTCAGGAGATGTCTCAAAATGTCCAATTGGGAATATTTTTAGCATAGCCCTGCCAAATGTATTTAGATACATGTATTAAACAATCTGGTCATGCATACACTGAAGTTGACTTCAGTTATATCTTTATTCAACCATATGAAAAATCAGAAGGAATGGGTGCCTTAGTGACTTGTGGTGTAACCATAGAGTTCCGAGTTACCCATCCCAACCCTTGCTGCTATAGATCTGATTCATTTGTCAAACGTGGATGGGAAGGCTGTTATTCCCCCTAACGTCCGAGCCAAGCTGTTCATCAGTCGTAACAGTTGGGACATAATGCACACATACTATACTCTCTCATGAACTGTTAATGTCATGGAGTAATTAATGTTAATAGAAAATTTATTTATTTAAAATTATTTGTAATTTCATGCACATTTAGTACTAGATTACGATCTGAATATGCTAAAAATGATTCGGTACTGATGCAATCTCAGGTAATTACACGATTCCTTAACTGACACTGTATGTTGTGTGTCACATTCTACCGCAACTGACACTGAATAATGTGTGTCACATTCTAACCTAACTGACACTGAATATTGTGTGTCACATTCTACTGTAACTGACACTGGATCGATGCTTGATTATTTACTGACCACCATCATTTTGCTGGAATATTGCTGTTGTTAAACAACAAACAAACAAACAATCATACGTCTGCTTTACCGTGGTACAGTTTTAATTGATATTTTTTGTGTTTAAATTTTAACGTCCATTCTCATTCCAGCCATGCAGCAACAAAGTATGGACACGGTGGCGGAGGGTGCGGTCAGTCGGAGTGACCCTACTGACCATCTACCTGAGAGCGAACTGACCAGTGACCCACCTGATACGGAACCTAGACGCATGAACTGCTGCCAAAGACTATGCTCCAAGTTCCAACTAAATAAGAACACCACACGACCTAACTACAAGTACATAGCACTGATGTTTGCAGCCCTGGTATGTAGTATTTGAATCTATAGAAATCACAAGTTTTCACCCCGTGAAGATCCGGGGTACAAAAGGTCTTCAGCAACCTATGCTTGCCGTAAAAGGCAACTATGCTTGTCGTAAGAGGCGACTAACAGGATCGGGTGGTCAGGCTCGCTGACTTGGTTGATGCATGTCATCGTATCCCAATTGCGTGGATCGATGCTCTGGTCCAGACTCGATTATTTACAGACTGACGTCATATAGCTGGAATATTGCTGAGTGCTGTGTTAACAACAAACATGACAAACAAACAAACAAACATCACTATGATCTGAGTTGGCAGACAAACCTATAGTCCTGGGACCCACTCCACAAAGGGAATATAGCAGTATGACTTAGTGCTCACATTGATTTGTGGAACAGGGCCCTAGGTGCTGTTGAACAAAGCGATCTTATCATGTTTATCGCCGATGTGATCGTAACTCCCACACTTTAACATCGGCTTATGATCATCTTAACGCTAAGGCTGTTTTGTACAACTGCATCCTGGTATTTACCGCTAGGACCGAGTAGACTAACATCTAGTCCTGGAAATGAAAATACTTAAACATTTTTTCGTGTTAAATTGTCTTTATATATACAGTCAAACACTGTTGCGTCTAAGTTGAAGGGACTTACGTAACTTCTTTACGTTATCCGAGGTCGACATAACCAAATATAATGAATAAAGAAGGAATACATAGGGACCAATCTTTTACTTTGAGATAACCGTACGATGGTCATATCAAAGTTTGACACAACTGTGTTTGACCGTATAATAGAAAGGAGCCCAGGGCCCACTTGCACAAAGTGATCTTAGCGCTAAGACTAACGTAAGCCTATGTTAAAGTATGGGTGTTACAATCATCTTAGTGCTAAGATCGCTTTGTGCAAGTGCACCCTGAGGAGTATTATATTTGCGGCCTGAAATTGAAGAAATCCAGAATTGCCAAAGTATTTTAGGGTTTTGGATCAGAGTTTGAAATGTAAAAAAATGCTGTGATGCCATCAGGACCAACAGACTATCGAGCTGAAGGCCCTGACTAATCTCTCAGGTCCTCATTTAAACACCTGCAGCTTATTGAACAAATAAATAGACACTAATTTTAGTGAAGGCCATAAGAACCCATACACCTTTGAACTACAGGCCCGACCCGAGATTTACCTGCCACGGGCCAACGGGCAGGCACTTATTTTGAACACCGTTTTGGATAGTTTTGTTTCAGGGTCTGTATGAGTAGGTTTGGTTTTACACTGCTCTGTTCTGAACAGTATTTGAGTTTTATCATGGCGTGTCAGCTTGATGTGGGAGGAAAACCTGGAGTGGTGTAGATCTGACATCTTTACCACTTTGGTGAAACCCACAAGCACGGGCAAACAAGCTAGAAGCATAATCAGGGTGATTCGAATCCATGATCATAGGTTCCTGACGTGCCCAAGGGATGCAACTCTGCACAGAGAATTATGTCACCTTAGAGTGAGTGAGTGAGTTGGGTTTAAAGCCGCTTTTAACAGTATTCCAGTTATATCGCGGCGTGTCAGCTTAATGTTGGAGGAAAGCCAGAAGTGATGCAGGTCTCAGACGTTTATCACTTCGTTGAAACCCACGAGCACGGGTATGGTGCTGACAAACCTAGACACATAATCGGGGCGAACCGGAATTCGAACCCACAATCATAGGTGAAGCCATTTTGAACAAAGTTGCAGTTATGCTGCCTCAGATGAATAGGTTATCTGTGCCAATCTCATGTATGAGTGACTGTATCTATCCAAGTAATACATTATGGATGTGAAGTAATGATAATATCATCAATATTATGTGTTACATATTCTATGAGTTTATATTTGATGACAAGCTCACATTACAATCTGCAATTGATCTTTGACAGTAATTTACCAAAAATATTATTTTCCCAGCAAATATTGTCATACTTCTGTGTGCCATGTTTGTGATTAGATGAGTTTTGTTGACGTCTGCTTTACTTGTTTCAGATGTCAAGTTCGTTCACCTTGACCTTTTTGTTCCCCTTTCTCCCGGACATGGTTAAGGTAAGGTCATGCAACAGTTTACAGTGACACCTTGTAAGTCTTGAACCACCTCCGTGGTGTATTGGACAGCGAGTGAGTGAGTGTATTGGACAGAGCGTCTGGCTAGAGAGAGGAGGGTCAATGGTTTGATTCTCTGGCCCTGTCAAAGGATGGTTCTTTCTGTTACCCTGCCTGCTGCTCAGGTTTGTGCTGAGCATGCCTAATCCAGAGATAATGCAAGTGGTTACCAATACCGCAAGCTGCAGACCCCGTCGCCATCTGGGGGATAAGTATTGCAATGTGTTGTGTCAGGATAAGAAATAATCTACATGAAACATGATGCCATTTTTTTAGACAGAACATTTTTTACTTATTCGCAACATCTTTTTGTAGAACATCCATCATGTCCAGTGAACGATGTTTTAAAATTTGTACAACCAGATTATAAATTACATTTTTCCAGTGTTTTTTGGGGTCAGATTATCTTGTTAGGCCAACCCCCGTCCCCAGAAGATCATGTAGTCTGCCCCTGAGTGTAAAGCTTGGCTAGGGGCTCCCTGTTTATCTTTTCTCAACCTCCATCCATAGGAACAATAGTGGTGACTAACTGGATTGGCTGGTCATGCAATATTTTTTCAGCCAGACTCAGTCAACTAGAGATGGGGCGGACCCGTGAAGGTCCGGGGTAGAATAGGTCTTCAGCAATCCATGCTTGTTGTAACAGCCGCAATGCTTGTCGTAAGAGGCGACTAACAGCATCGGGTGGTCAGGCTCGCTGACTTGGTTGATGCATGTCATCGTTTCCAAATTCGTGGATCGATACCCTTGAAGGCAATCACTGGATTGTCTGGTCCTAGTCTCATTAAAATCTGATCTTAGTTCTCGCTACCGCTAAACAAAGATCTGAGGACATCCCATTACGGGTCACGTCAGACCAACCTTGCGAGAACTTTCACCGACCAATGGAATGACCAATCAGAAGACAGCTTTCTCGTGCTTTATGGCACTAATTTCAAATTGGCGACTAAGCTTCAAAACATATTTTGACAAATTCTTGATTACAAATTTGAAACCTGAACAAAAGAACATTCTGGCTAATAGATGGTCTAGATTGTATGGATTCAGTTGTTAAGCCCATAACTATCGTTTGGAATACCGCGTGTTATAGTTTTTTATGTTGCATGAATATAAATCACATTCCGACTGTCACTTTCATAATCTGGTAAGTGACGCTCTGATTGGTCGGATGAAAGGTCGTTCTGACGTGACCCCTAGTTGGATGTCTTCAGATCTTTGTTTAGCGGTAGAGAGAACTAAGGTCTGATTTTAATGAGATTGGTCTGGTCCAGACTGAATTATTTAACACCTGACCTCAAATAGTGGAAAATTGCATAGTGCAACAAACAAACAAACAAACAAACAAAAACTATTCCACCAATGAGGTGTATGGTGTTACCATGATTTGAAATACCAATGAATATGGATCACAATACATTTGGAAAATACCGGTATATTGCGTTTTTCAAAATCATACATATTTTCATCTTGTTGGTAAAGTTTACATTAGTCCCCATGAAAGTCAGAAATTAGCAACAGCTTGTATATAATGAGTCTTACTCTATTTTGCATGCACACCAACATCCAACAAAATGGCTGATGACTACCGTATTTTCTTGAGTATAGTGCACACATTTTTTCCAAAAAACACAGCTGTGTAGAAGGGGGTGCGCATTATACATGAAATAATGAGTTTTGATGTTTTTTTCCCCATGGAAAGATATTACTGTGAGCACGTAACACCAGAAATACCATGTCAACAAATCCATACTGAAGTACGCAAAATCATCATGTAATTACACTGTCTGGCTACAAAAAGTGTTCTTTGTATATCTGGACTTATGTATGTAACTTATTTCATTAATTATGCATGGTGCGCACTATACTCAAGGAAATACAGTATGAAGTTGTAAAAAATATGTGGGGAAAATCTGATGGTTTTTTTTAGGTTTGTGACATATTACAGCTGAAAGAACACATGCAGTATGTTATGGTACAAACCGGAGTATATGAATCATCTATAAATTGCAATAGAAAAGACCCAACACTTCTCCACCATGTCGTGCTGGCCGGCCAGATGCTGCTAGCGTCATTGTCTATCATGTCATTTATATTCACTTGGATACCAGCTGTTGAGCATTGTTGGTGTCTCTCCTAACGTTACTGATGCATATTAATATCATTTCCATATGTTTTGTTATTTTACTATTCTGTGTTCAGGATGAGAGGTTTTTACACTGCTGTTAATTGCTTCATTGAGAGTGCATTTCATGCAACGCTTACTCCCAATGATATTGTGCCAAATGCTGCTAGTTGGGTTCAGACAGAAATGTAAGCTATGAACACCAAGACATGCTTTGATTCCGCCAATGCTGACGGTGTTGGAAAACATTCAGTAAAGATGACCCACAAAATCTCTCAGTCTCGACCCTTGTCCAACATGATTCCTTAAAAAGTGTCAAGGTGTTGCCAACCCTGCACTTCATTAGTAAATCAGCTGTTGAGGATCCTCCAGCACTGAAAGAAGCACTTATAATGCCTCTACTGAAAAAGCCATGGCTTGATCGAGATGTGGTTAAGAACCTTTGCCCAGTCTCAGATGTAGCAAGACTGCATACACACATACATGACAAAAACCTTGGAGATGTGCTGCAATCAGCTTACAAGCTTTGCTGTGTGTGCAAAATGACCTACTTCATGCTGCTGACTCCAACACCGATTCTTGTCCTCTTGGATCAATCAGCAGCATGTGACACATCAGGCCACTTGACTCTCTCCAGATGCTGGAGTCAGACGTGGGTGTTCCTGGTGAGTCTCTATCATGGTTCACATCATATCTCACAGGACGCCACCAGTCAGTGACACAACAGGCCACTTGACTCTCTCCAGATGCTGGAGTCAGACGTGGGTGTTCCTGGTGAGGCTCTGTCATGGTTGACATTATATCTCACAGGACACCACCAGTCAGTGACACAACAGACCACTTGACTCTCTCCAGATGCTGGAGTCAGACGTGGGTGTTCCTGGTGAGTCTCTATCATGGTTCACATCATATCTCACAGGACGCCACCAGTCAGTGACACAACAGGCCACTTGACTCTCTCCAGATGCTGGAGTCAGACGTGGGTGTTCCTGGTGAGGCTCTATCATGGTTCACATCATATCTCACAGGACGCCACCAGTCAGTGACACAACAGACCACTTGACTCTCTCCAGATGCTGGAGTCAGACGTGGGTGTTCCTGGTGAGGCTCTATCATGGTTGACATCATATCTCACAGGACGCCACCAGTCAGTGACACAACAGGCCACTTGACTCTCTCCAGATGCTGGAGTCAGACGTGGGTGTTCCTGGTGAGGCTCTATCATGGTTCACATCATATCTCACAGGACGCCACCAGTCAGTAATACAACAGACCACTTGACTCTCTCCAGATGCTGGAGTCAGACGTGGGTGTTCCTGGTGAGGCTCTATCATGGTTGACATCATATCTCACAGGACGCCACCAGTCAGTGACACAACAGGCCACTTGACTCTCTCCAGATGCTGGAGTCAGACGTGGGTGTTCCTGGTGAGGCTCTGTCATGGTTGACATCATATCTCACAGGACGCCACCAGTCAGTGACACAACAGACCACTTGACTCTCTCCAGATGCTGGAGTCAGACGTGGGTGTTCCTGGTGAGTCTCTATCATGGTTCACATCATATCTCACAGGACGCCACCAGTCAGTGACACAGTAGACCACTTGACTCTCTCCAGATGCGGAGTCAGACGTGGGTGTTCCTGGTGAGGCTCTATCATAGTTCACATCATATCTCACAGGACGCCACCAGTCAGTAATACAACAGACCACTTGACTCTCTCCAGATGCTGGAGTCAGACGTGGGTGTTCCTGGTGAGGCTCTATCATGGTTGACATCATATCTCACAGGACGCCACCAGTCAGTGACACAACAGACCACTTGACTCTCTCCAGATGCTGGAGTCAGACGTGGGTGTTCCTGGTGAGTCTCTATCATGGTTCACATCATATCTCACAGGACGCCACCAGTGAGTGACACAGTAGACCACTTCACTCTCTACAGAGGTGGGTGTTCCTGGTGAGGCTCTATCATAGTTCACATCATATCTCACAGGATGCCACCAGTGAGTGACACAGTAGACCACTTCACTCTCAACAGAGGTGGGTGTTCCTGGTGAGGCTCTATCATAGTTCATATCATATCTCACAGGATGCCACCAGTCAGTGACACAACAGACCACTTAACTCTCTGAAGATGCTCGTCCCACAGATGCTCAATCGGGGACAAATCTGGTGACCGGGCTGGCCAAGGCAATGTCTGGATGTTGTTGTGCTATAAGAAGTCCTGACAAACATGTGCAATATGCGGTCGAGCGTTGTCCTGCTGGAACTGTCCGCCATGAACGTTGACGTGAGGAAGAACGTAAGGCTGTAGGATCAAGTCTCTGTAACGCACACCTGTCAATGCACCTGCCGCATGCACGAGAGGCGTCCTACCACCATGATGAAATCCGGCCCATACCATGACACTCCCGCCGCCAAATGGGACAACCTGCTGCACACAGTTGGGGGCATAATGTTCACCCAGACGTCTGTAGACACGTGCTAGCCCATCAGCAGGTGTGAGTAGGAAACGGGACTCGTCAGTAAACAGTACATTTCCCCACCTTGCACGTGCCCATCTAACCCTCTGTTGGCACCAAAGCAGATGGTCCGCCAGATGACGTGGGGCCAATATATGACGTCGAACAGGTCTTCGTGCAAAAAGTCCAGCCTCCCTCAGTCTGTTGCGTACCGTTTGATCTGATATTCTGCGTACCCCATGGATCTGTGTGGTTGTAGACGTGGCTGTGGTAGTGCAGTCTCGGAGGTGTCGCAGCCAGATGTATCGATCTTGTGCTTGGGTTGTCACCCTTGGTCTTCCTGACCTTGGTCTGTCGTCAACTCTGTTGGTGTTGTTGTATCAGGTCCACAGTGCGGAGATTGTCTGTCTGGATATGCCAAAGTGCCTGGCCATTTCTTGCTGAGTTGCTCCAGCTTGTAATCTCCCAATGGCGTTGTTCTGTTGAGCTGCATTCAGTCTTGGCATTCTGTCACCACCTCTACTGCCGTTATAAGGACTGTATGAACAGCCGTTGATGTGGATTTTTATACCCATTCAGCAGGGGAGCCTGCATGCCTAAATGCAGGATCCTGTGCTGCACGTTTTTTACAGGCGGTTGCGTTTGGATGAAGCTGTAAAATTGATCCCCAAACGCTAAGAGTTTATCATGTCAACAAATCCATACTGAAGTACACAAATTAATCATGTAATTACACTGTCTGGTTATATAAACTGTTCATTGTATATCTGGACTTATGTTTGTAACTTATTTCATTAATTTTATTCAAAATTCCTGTTAATATTGTTTTAATAAATTTCGACGAAATCGTGTGTGAAACGATCGGTATGCTGATGCTACACAGCTCGATCTGGGATTCAGCAATTGTCACCCTCATCGGTTAGTGAAACTTGCAGAGAATCACAGCCTGCATTGTTGACATCAACAGTTAGATGATGACAAACTTCCTCAAACTGAATGATGACAAAACTGAAATTCAGTTTGGAAAATCATGTGAATGACAGCTGCAAAAGGGCATACCATCAGATAAGGATTATCGGACAAATATGTGGACAAAGACTATGTCAAGTGCTTTCTGTTTCAGTGGCTGGGCTACACAGAGGAGGCGAAGGGTTATTATGTGGGATTGATTGCATCGTCGGTGTTTGCTGGAAGGGCATGTGGGAGGTAGGTAAACTAGGTGGTATCTGATGTTGATGTTCTCGTGCTTCATCCTATGTCATTGTTACAGGCTGACTCTAGTGATGTGGCATATTCTGAGATGAGAATTTTCTGCAGATTCTAAGAATTCTGTGGATTTCATTATGTCAAGGTTCATTTTGGTGACTCATGCCATAAATAAACACATAAGTCATATAGTCTCATCTCTAGTTGACACTGAATCTGCCTGAAAAAATATTGCATGTTCTCGGGCACGCACTTCTCATAAGTGAGGAGAGCGGCTGGACTATTTTTAGGTGAAGTGGGAGGAATACTATATTTTCTTCCATTAAGAATTCCATTTAACATAGACCCGTGAAGATTTCCGGGATAGAATAGGTCTTCAGCAACCCATGCTTTCCGTAAAAGGCAACTATACTTGTCGTAAAAGGCGACTAACGGGATCGGGTGGTCAGGCTCGCTGACATGGTTTGATGCATGTCATCGATCCCAATTGTGGGATCGATGCTCATGATGTTAATCACTGGGTTGTCTTGTCCAGACTCGATTATTTACAGACCGCTGTCATATAGTTGTAATTTTGCCGAGGGCGGCGTTAAACAACAAACAAACAACACCTTAGGGACACAATCCTGATAAGCGAGTTGCATTTACTGTATTTTCAGCTTCTTCTGGGGATGGTTGTCAGACGTCAAAGGGAGGAAAGTGGTGTTGTTGCTGACACTTGCAGGAAATGGCATATTTTCCCTGTTATTTGGATTCTCTGTCAACCTGCCGATGGCTATGATCCTCCGTTTCTTGGCAGGTCTTTGCAATGGTGAGTCAGGGATAGAAATAGGTTGGCACTAGGCACTCATATGCAGTCAAGTCCCGTTAATTCGACATGGTTGGTTGCATATGATTATATCGGATTAACGAGTATGTCGGATAAACGAAATTTAAACAGTATCAACGTTTGTGATCGAAAATCGGACTACTACACGATAGATAACAATACAAACACGTAATAAAAAAATGATAATGAAATATTCATATTTGTTATGTTACGTTGTTAGCGGAATATGTTTTCTAATCATGCAACACAAAACAACTGTTACGGACTTATGTACTCTTTCAAAATACTTTAAAGAGCATAGTCTGGAATGGAAGTCGCAAGTTTGAAACTGGTACCGCAAAGCCTTTGAAAGCTGCTTTCTAAGTGGTTAACATTGACTTCCTGTTAGTCATTTCATTGGTCGGTCATAGTTCCCGAAAGGTTGTTCTGACGTGACCTGTAATGGGATGTCCTCGGCGATAGCGAGAACTTATATCTGATTTTAAATAATGAGATTGAGGTAATCTAAGCATGTAATAAATCCTGTTTTCTTTATTTAAACCATTAATTGTTTATTATTTAGCAAGTTTATCTCTGCAGCCGTTGTAATATGCAGCTACCAGCCGACTCGTCTTGCATCAAAACACGGGCTGTGTACTCGTGGGCAGATGACCACGGAGTACGCTGATCACTGTGTTGGATTAACGAGACTGATTTCGGTAATGGAGTCGGAGTGCGAGACTGTTGGATTAACGGGTCTAAATAGCTCTGATTTAATCAGTTCCCAATATTAGTGTCGGATAAAGCCGATTGTCGGATTAACGAGTGTCGGATTAACGAGACTTGACTGTAGAAGATTAGGTGTGCCCTGTAGAAGCCTAAGTGTGATCCTTTATTGAGGTGAGGTGAGGTGAGATGAAATGGGTTTATTCAAGATTATTGCACTTATATATAGTGTGTGTGTTTGGCTGCTTGCCGTTAAAGGCGACTATGCTTGTCGTAAGAGGCGACTAACGGGATCGGGTGGTCAGACTCGCTGACTTTGTTGATGCATGTCATTGTATCCCAATTGCGTGGATCAATGCTCATGATGTCAATCACTGGATTTGTTGTTAAACAACACACACCCAGCAACATTCTAGCTTTATGATGGCGGCCTGTAAATAATCAAGTCTGGAGCAGACAATCCAGTGATCAACGTCATCAGCAATTATTTGTGTAATTGGGATACAATGACATGCATCAACCAAGTCAACGAGCCTGACCAGCCGATCCCGTTAGTTCCTATGGGCTGCTGCAGACTAATACTAACTACAGTAAACTACATTTATAACTAACACACTTATTACGAACTGATGGATATAACAAACTTAATTTTCAGTCCCGGCTGTTTGCTTACATGCTGTATATATGCTTATAATGAACTACGGTTACAACAAACTAATATTGGTGGTCCCTGGGAGCTCATTATAACTGTAGTTTACTGTGCATCTTCACGGAGTAGTTACTGAGTTGCTTTATAAGGTACAAAATGATCACAGTGAGCCCTCTGATCTGTGCTAACTATCCATGGGAACAGAATTCCCCACCACCCCACGTTTGTCATAAAAATGAGGGGCGGTTGGGTAGCTTTGTGGTTAAAGCGTTTGCTCGTCACGCCGAAGACCCAGGTTCGATTCCCGACATGGGTACAATGTGTGAAGCCCATTTCTGGTGTCCCTTCCGTGATATTGGTTGAATATTGCTTAAAGCGGCGTAAAATCATACTCACTCACTCACTCATAAAAATGAGGATCGGGTGGACACAAAGGGTGACCTGGTTGATTTGGGCAATAACCCAAGCACCATTATTTACAATTTCAATACAAATCATTTCCAGTGTTCTTGTATGAGATGAAAGTGTACATAAGCAATTCTTTCAGTCTTGTAGCTATTCAGTATTCACCAGTAACCATGGTTAGAATTCATGTTGAGTGTCAACTTATTGTTCATCTCAGTCGTGTTGAAGAATTTCTTATACCAATTACAGGCACTGTGGGCACAGCGAAGACTGTCCTGTACGAGATCTCGGACAACACGAATCAGGCTATAGGGATGTCATGCATTGCCCTGTCCTGGGGAACGGGCCTCATCCTGGGGCCTACCTTTGGAGGTGAGACTATTAGTCCTGTTGGAGTTACTTCCCTTTATGTGGTGCAGCCATTGAAATGACATTGGGACGGTTGATGGTGGAGATTATTGAGTGTGTCTGTCTGATTGTGTAACAAAGTTTTTCCGATTGCTTTATCGCATCCGTAACACTACCTATTATATGATAAATAAGACTTTTGAAAATAACAAAATACTTATATTAATTTAATAAAAAATGTAAATTTTATGCCACAGTGTCTTAAGATTAAAACGCCTCTTGTCAAGATAAACATTTTCAAAAAATTGTTGCCATGGAAACAATTAGTTGTTTTTTTCAACTCTTATTAATAAAAGAGCTTAATAATACAATTTGTCATGATAGATTATTCCTCATGATAGTAAGGTCAAGATATGTTAAACAATATCTCTTTTCTAAATCCTGTAATTCATGAAACTTGTCTTGTGTTTTTCGGGGCGGTTGGGTAGCCTAGTGGATAATGCGTTCGCCCGTCATGCTGTATACCCAGGTTCGATTCCCCTAATGGGATCAATGTATGAAGCCCATTTCTGGTGTCCCCCGACGTGATATTGCTGGAATATTGCTAAAAGCGGTGTAAAACCATACTTACTCACTCCTTCTTGTGTTTTTCAGGCTTTCTGGCCTCTCCTGCCACAAAGTATCCCAGTGTGTTTGATCCCGAGGGGTTCTTCAGTCGGTACCCTTTCGTCCTCCCTTCTGTAGCAGTGATTGTCACCTGTGCCATTGGTTTCTTTGTTGTGCTTTTTCAGTTTGAGGAAACCCTTCAGAAACGGTAAGTACCAAGTTGGACTGTGTTGATAGCAGAGCAAGGCACCATTCACCCAAGAATGGTTTCTGTAAAACAATAACTTGATGTTGGGAGAAAAAACTTGTGCCTCTAGATTTTCATTTGTCTTAAACTGTCAGACTAGTGTTATCTAACCCCTGATATCTTTCTCTAAAGGACATACCTGTCAACTCTCACGCATCTCGCGTGAGTCTCACGCATTTATCACCTATGTCACGCTCACACGCAAGGTTGGGAACTTCTCACGCATTCATATAAAAAGTAGATATAAATATAATTTATCAGAATACATGCTCTCTGAGGCCATTAAAATGGTCTTAAAATCATTCAAAACCAGTTTTCGCACACACACACCCCCTTCCCCGCCAGGACCCAGCGGGGCTTGCTGCCCCTGCACCTTGGCTTCTCACGCATTTAGACATCCAGGGATTGACAGCTATGAAAGGACCAATTTTTAAACTTCACCACACACTTTGCATTTCTTGCTTCTTTCCATCTTTATGTGGAAACATGCTTGAAAAAGTTTCCAGCTTCTAAAAACAATTCACCGAAACACATCCTATCATCACCATGGTCACCACCCAAAGAAATGGGTCATGCACAGTAATCCCTAGCATTGCGACCTACATGATAAAGTCACATGACTACCCCTGTCACATCATTCTCTTCCTCATCATCACACTGTGGAGACCCCTCAACGAATCAAGCATATATTCATCTTGTTGGCACAATTTACGTAAGTGACGAGTCGAACTAAAATCATGAAATTATGAAATTAGCAACTGATTCCTGTGATCGAAAAAGCGAAACTATTTGCGACGAGCTTTCTGTATATACTGGTAATGTCCCTAATACACATGCTGGAATAATGCAGAATGCAAACAAACAAACTTTAACATTCGTTTGTAACTTAATATCTAATATCAATGTGTGTTTTTCGTTTTCAGTAAGGATGAGGTTGTCACATCTGATCCTGAAGAGGTTGATGAGGTTAAACCCCTGACAGACAAGGTCTCTGTGTCAGCTAGTCGCAGTAACATATACAGATCATGTGACAGTCTACATCGTGGACCCATGGCTGCCATGTCGATCGAGGACATACACTGTGTCTCAGAGACGGAGGGTTATTTCACACGTGATGCTGATAATCATACCTCCCAAAATATCAATAAATCACGAAATCTTGAAATTAATAATCACCTTAGCAACAAAAGTGACCTTGACATTGACAATCATGAACACACAGCTTTGTTAGACGAGACAGAAGCTAGGAATGCTATCAATGAACAAAAAAGTAATTTGAAGTCTGTATCCAAAGGTCATGTTGACCTTGAAAACAAGGTGACTAAGTCGGCAGATAATCAGAAAGAGGCTGGTGACCTCAGTAGCGAACTCAGCGCAGGGGAAGCAGTGAATGATCACCGAAATGGGAATTCTGTGATCCACAGTTTGAGTTCTGTGACTGGAAGTGATGATTTGGTGAAAAAATGTGGAACTGAATCAGTGACCGTCACAGTGGAAGGCATCAAAGATAAACAAGTCAAATCACGGAGGAGCTTGAGGGGGAGCATACGCAACAGCATGCTGGTGTCGTTGTTATGGTAAGAATATATCAGATCTGGTACTCCAATAACTTTGTGCGAAAGATCTGAGAACATCTCCATAGGTCTCATTTGATAAACCTTCTAATTAGCCAATCAGTGCCGAAAACAAATATAATTGGGAAGTTCCAAATGCAAAAAATAAAACCTGTGCTATTTTGTAGTCATGAGTATTTATGACATCCTGTCGTTCCTGAATAAAATGTCTTCTACATCAGAAGAAGGTGTACGACCGAGCTTAAGGCAGTTGTCTTTTGTTCCAAATTTCCAAATCGCTGTTGTAAAGAAAGGAAGCCGAAGCATTTTAGGAAGTTGACATCTGATAGTTCAAGAATCAAGACATCCTTCTGAGGTTCATTTAAATTGGGGGACCAGTAAGGTAGTTTAGTGGTTAAAGCAATCTCTTGTCATGCCAAAACAGGGTTCCATTCCTCATAGGGGTACAATGTGTGAAGCCTGTTTCTGGTGTCCCCGTCATCAATATTGCTGAAATCAGCATAAACCTTTCTCACTCACTCAGTTAGATTGGGCAGCTAAGTTTGACCAGACGCGACCTTCAGTGGAGTTGACATTTTGATGCAGAGAGGTATCATATCAGAGTAAACAATCTGTTTGTTTGTTTGTTTGTTTGTTTGTTGTTTAACGCAGCACAAATCAATTTTCCAGCTGTATGACAGCACAACACCATACTCGCGTTTATTTGTTTTCCCATTCAAGTGAAACACGACTTCTGATCTTGCATCATGTTTTGTTGCAGCGACAGTGACATCAGGAACAGTATACTTTTGTACACGGTGTATTCGTTTGGCGTCATCGGGGCGGAGGACGTCTTCACCATCTTCCTGTCCACGGAACCACGATACAGTAAGTCTCCTAATTTTGTCCACTTAAGTGCATGTCCATATAAGGCAGCAGAGAGATGTTGTAAGTGTTTGGCCTTTGAATTGTTTGCTGTTTGTAGCCTTATTCCAGGTATATGACAGCGGTCCGTCTATACTTGAGTCTGGACCAGACAATCCAGTGATTGACGTCATGAGCATCGATATAAACGCCATTGTTTGTTGATTAACAAGGCATACGGCAATATTCCAGCTATATGACAGCGGTCTGTATATACTTGAGTCTGGACCAGACAATCCAGTGATTGACGTCATGAGCATGGATATAAACGCCATTGTTTGTTGATTAACAAGGCATACGGTAATATTCCAGCTATATGACAGCGGTCTGTATATACTTGAGTCTGGACCAAACAATCCGGTGATTGATGTCATGAGCATTGATATAAACGCCATTGTTTGTTGATTAACAAGGCACTCAGCAATATTCCAGTTTTATGCAGATAATCCAATGATTGACCCTGCAATTGATATATGCAATTAACCTGGTTGCCAAACCTGACCACCCGATCCATATAGTTGCCTCTTACATCAAACAGATGGAACTATATTCTATATTCTTTCCTGGAATCTTACGGAATAATAAAAATAATAATTGCATTTGTTAGGTGCTGTTTTCCATCCTCTATGTGGTTGGTCAAAGCACACATAATTATTACCCCGGTCATTGGATCAGTGTGCACTCAACAATCATTCTCAGCTCCTTGGGGAGTATTCAACCCAAGCTGCCTGTGAGGTGCTAGAAGGTTAACAGCCACATTACCATCTCATCCTACCGGGTACGCATTCACTGCTGGGTGAACAGAGCACATTTCAAACAAAGTCACTTGCCGAAGGAGACCCACATGTGGCACAGGATACTCTCAGGAGCCAAACTGCCGAACAAGGTCACCCATCCAAGGACTCTCCGTGACCAATGTTGCTTAACTTCACCTGATTTGTGACCTGTTCGACACCACCTCTGATCCCACTTATGCATGTAATATTCACTGAGCTCTTCCACAGATGGCATGGGCTTCACATCTAACGAGATTGGCCTGTCGATGGGTGTGGTCTCGGTCCCACTGCTAGTCCTACAACTATTAGTGTATCCAGCGATGGTTCAGAAATTCGGAATTAAAAAGGTATGTAAAATGTTTTCTTAGGCTAAAAAAAATAATAGCCTTGGTTCTCAGGTACCGCCCGCATCATCATAAAATCTGCTGTACGTTTCGTTTTTATTTGCATTTAAAAAATAAATAAATCATAATACTTAAAAAGAATCCAATATAACACACCCTTTACTGTTCATCTTGTGTTATGGTGGCAATAGGAGTGCGAATACTTATTATGTAGGGAGGCTCTTTCCCAGGTTTATGGTACACAACTGTTTATTTGGTTACACACTAGTTTGAATGAAAAAAACAACACTGCCCGCCCCCACTATGTTTTCCAAAGTCATTCCTGAGAACCAATTCTTTTAATTTTTTAAGTTTTAATTGTAATGTTTTATGATGTCACAGTCAGCAAATGTCCTTGCTGTATGAAAATGACCTATGGATAATAAAGTCTGTGTTAGCCAAACCAGTGGTTGACAGCGTGATCAGGCATTATTGCCAAGTTGTCAGGGCGCAGTGACACACAGTCAGCAAATGTCTTATGGATAATAAAGTCTGTGTTAGCTAAACCAGTGGTTGACAGCGTGATCAGGCATTATTGCCAAGTTGTCAGGGCGCAGTGACACACAGTCAGACTGAACATTGTAACTGTAGTATATCAACACGATGAGCATGTCTCAAACAGAGGTATAAAGGATTGTAAGTGGGGGGAAACGTTACACTTGTGCACCGATGCCTTGTGAGTTTTCATGTGACGATATGATACACGATACGATTTATTTTATGTTGATACATAGAGGTTATCACGCGAGTGTGTTTGGGGATGGTAAATATCCTGCATTAGGAATAAACATTGTATTTAGCGAGCCTTGGCGAGCTAAATACATAGTGTTTATTCCTAATACAGGATATTTACCATCCCCAAACACACAAGCGTGATAACCTCTTTATCATATAATGTCATTCTTTAATTCTGTGCTTTAAAATCGCTTTCCCTCTCTCACAAACATTACCGAAACATTGCGAGTTTTCCTGGAATGCGCGCATTAATATTTATTACGTCACAGGGTAAGTGATGTGTCAGTAGGACTGTGACAGTAGCCAATATAGTTCCAACTGAAATCTGTTTCATATACAGTGGCGAAGCAACTTATACGCAAAACAACAGATTTTAATTGCCTTTCGTGGCAATCCATCAGTCTGTCCGCTAGAGTAACTGTCCTTTGTCAAAGGGAAGCTACTCTAACCCTAGTCTATGAGACGTCACGGCCACGGTCAGATGTTGTTGACAGTCGGTCTGTCCTGTCATAACGTTAAGAAGTGTCGTCAGATGTACACACAGCGACAAATCGAAACAAGGTAACAGTTCAAACATATTTCGGCCGAATCCGTCCCATTTTGATTTGTGGAGAAGGTTTCAAGCCACAGAGGTCTACAAGCACAGATATGGCTACTGATCCCGCTTGGCTAGGCCTCGTGCCCTCGCAAAATTGTTTTGAAATTTATATCTCGAAAGTTGCCCAAACTCATAAAATGCCTTAGCTACGTCACGGTTAGACACTGATTTTCAGTATATTAGACTGTTCGTTTGATAATGATAGCAATTATCCCTGTAGTTTATCCAGATTCACGATGGTTAATTCTGACTCGATCACCGAATGACGAGGGCGACACCATGTTTGTTTATAAACAGTGAAAGTAGTCCTACTTGACCTTTGGTATTTGCATCTCTATCCGCATATGACCCCAACGGATATCGTTTTTATCCGTTGGCTTTATCCTGCCGAGAAACCTAACCATTATATGATAAAGGATGATACACTTGCCAGAATGAATCACTTACTACTTCCCCCCTCTCTCTTTACCCGCGGGGTGGTTGGGTAGCCGAGTGGTTACAGCGTTCGCTCGTCACGCTGAAGACCCGGGTTCGAATCCCGACATGGCTACACGAGGTGAAGCCCAATTCTGGTGTCCCCCGCCATGATATTGATGGAATATAGCTAAAAGCGGCGTAAAACCAAACTCACTCACTCACTCACTTTACCCCAGGGTTTTTTGTCAGTCAAATATTGCAAAATATATTGTTATTATCATTTAAAGAACACTGCTAAATATAGCTGCTACGAACATGTGTCTACAGCTAGCTTTTTCTTTGGATCCTACACTAAAATATTCATAGTCAAGCATTTTCCACATGACTTGACGTGAATATGCATATCGTGATACGAATAATATCAAAATTTCGGTTTCAAATTTGTCCCCATATGTTGTGGTAAGAGACGACTATTTGGATCAGATTGCTTGGTTCATTGCAGTTCATCGTACCCCAACAGCGTGGATCAATCATTGTGCCAATCATTGTGCCAATCATTGTTCCAATCATTGTGCCAATCATTGTTCCAATCATTGTGCCAATCATTGTGCCAATCATTGTTCCAATCACTGATTGTCTGGTCCAGCTTTAGTTATTCACAGGCCGCCGTCATACAGCTGAAATATTGCTGAGTGAGGCATTGCAAAAAATACATACAAACAAACACACACTCTGATTACCCTATGTGTATTAGAAACAGAATAACACCACAATGCAATTGTTCCAGTGGATATTTCTTTAGAATTTGGTCAGATTAAGTCTGAATTAACAGATCTTTGAATATTTGATTTTCGTTCTTGCAGACCTTCCTGATTGGAGGGCTGGTGTTGGTTGTGACAGTCCAGACGCTGCCTATGCTGCACCAGCTGTATGACAAGTAAGTAATCAGGCTGAGTGAGTGAAGATTGTTTTACATACACTCTGCATGGTAGCCTGTATGTTATCATTGTGTTCTTTGTTGTTTAATGGATTGTCTGGTCCAGACTCAATTATTTACAGACCGCCGTCATATAGCTGGAATATTGATGAGTGCAGTGTTAAACAACAAACAAACAAATTAAATAAGGGCTTTTAAACAGTAAAGACATTCAGGATTTTTTCTGCCCTATTCTCCTACGTGTTTTGAATACTTTGAGAAGCAACTTGTCAAATCTTTTATTTTTCTCATCTGGAGACTTTTCCATGGTGTTTTCAATTGCTTTCAATTTTCAATGTTCAATTCCTTTATGAAGCCCAATGTGTTGTTAGCTAAGATAGAAGTGAGTCATCTTGTCCTGACATTGTTCTTCAGCAAGGTGTTGTTGTGGACGTTGCTGATGTTGGTCATGCTCCCGGAGAGACTGGCTGTTAATTGCTGCTTTTCTGGCTCGTCCCTAATGATAAATAACTCCGCCAATCCACAGAATGCCGGGACAGTCAATGGTATCGCAATGACCTTCACTGCTTTAGCAAGGTCAGTGAAACCAGAAAAGAGTTATAGTGGAAAACTGGATTTTTTTGTGATCAGTTTTCACAGATTCAGATTTCACCAAATTTAGGATGTAAGTGGACCCTAGTGACCTCTCCCATCTGTCAGTTGTTAACTTGTCAACTCGTCTAGTGACCTCTCCCATCTGTCAGTTGTCAACTTGTCAACTTGTCTAGTGACCTCTCCCATCTGTCAGTTGTTAACTTGTCAACTTGTCTAGTGACCTCTCCCATCTGTCAGTTGTTAACTTGTCAACTCATCTAGCGACCTCTCCCATCTGTCAGTTGTTAACTTGTCAACTCGTCTAGTGACCTCTCCCATCTGTCAGTTGTTAACTTGTCAATTCGTCTAGCGACCTCTCCCATCTGTCATATGTTATCTTGTCATCTCGTCTAGTGACCTCTCCCATCTGTCAGTTGTTAACTTGTCAACTCTCCTAGTGACCTCTCCCATCTGTCAGTTGTTATCTTGTCAACTCGTCTAGTGACCTCTCCCATCTGCCAGTTGTTAACTTGTCAACTCGTCAAGTGACCTCTCCCATCTGTCAGTTGTTAACTTGTCAACTCGTCTAGTGACCTCTCCCATCTGTCAGTTGTTATCTTGTCAACTCGTCTAGTGACCTCTCCCATCTGTCAGTTGTTATCTTGTCATCTTGTCTAGTGACCTCTCCCATCTGTCAGTTGTTATCTTGTCAACCCGTTTAGCGACCTCTCCCATCTGTCAGTTGTTAACTTGTCAACTCGTCTAGTGACCTCTCCCATCTGTCAGTTGTTATCTTGTCAACCCGTCTAGCGACCTCTCCCATCTGTCAGTTGTTATCTTGTCAACTCGTCTAGTGACCTCTCCCATCTGTCAGTTGTTAACTTGTCAACTCGTCTAGTGACCACTCCCATCTGTCAGTTGTTATCTTGTCAACTCGTCTAGTGACCTCTCCAATCTGTCAGTTGTTATCTTGTCAACTCGTCTAGTGACCTCTCCCATCTGTCAGTTGTTAACTTGTCAACCTGTCCAGTGACCTCTCCCATCTGTCAGTTGTTAACTTGTCAACTTGTCTAGTGACCTCTCCCATCTGTCAGTTGTTATCTTGTCAACTCGTCTAGTGACCTCTCCCATCTGTCAGTTGTTATCTTGTCATCTTGTCTAGTGACCTCTCCCATCTGTCAGTTGTTATCTTGTCTACCCGTTTAGCGACCTCTCCCATCTGTCAGTTGTTATCTTGTCATCTCGTCTAGCGACCTCTCCCATCTGTCAGTTGTTATCTTGTCATCTCGTCTAGTGACCTCTCCCATCTGTCAGTTGTTAACTTGTCAACTCGTCTAGTGACCTCTCCCATCTGTCAGTTGTTATCTTGTCAACTCGTCTAGTGACCTCTCCAATCTGTCAGTTGTTATCTTGTCAACTCGTCTAGTGACCTCTCCCATCTGTCAGTTGTTAACTTGTCAACTCGTCTAGTGACCTCTCCCATCTGTCAGTTGTTATCTTGTCAACTCGTCTAGTGACCTCTCCCATCTGTCAGTTGTTATCTTGTCAACCCGTCTAGCGACCTCTCCCATCTGTCAGTTGTTATCTTGTCATCTCGTCTAGCGACCTCTCCCATCTGTCAGTTGTTAACTTGTCAACTCGTCTTGCGACCTCTCCCATCTGTCAGTTGTTATCTTGTCAACTCGTCTAGTGACCTCTCCCATCTGTCAGTTGTTAACTTGTCACTTCGTCAAGTGACCTCTCCCATCTGTCAGTTGTTAACTTGTCAACTTGTCTAGTGACCTCTCCCATCTGTCAGTTGTTATCTTGTCAACCCGTTTAGCGACCTCTCCCATCTGTCAGTTGTTATCTTGTCAACTCGTCTAGTGACCTCTCCCATCTGTCAGTTGTTAACTTGTCAACTCGTCTAGTGACCTCTCCCATCTGTCAGTTGTTATCTTGTCAACTCGTCTAGTGACCTCTCCAATCTGTCAGTTGTTATCTTGTCAACTCGTCTAGTGACCTCTCCCATCTGTCAGTTGTTAACTTGTCAACTCGTCTAGTGACCTCTCCCATCTGTCAGTTGTTATCTTGTCAACTCGTCTAGTGACCTCTCCCATCTGTCAGTTGTTATCTTGTCAACCCGTCTAGCGACCTCTCCCATCTGTCAGTTGTTATCTTGTCATCTCGTCTAGCGACCTCTCCCATCTGTCAGTTGTTAACTTGTCAACTCGTCTTGCGACCTCTCCCATCTGTCAGTTGTTATCTTGTCAACTCGTCTAGTGACCTCTCCCATCTGTCAGTTGTTAACTTGTCACTTCGTCAAGTGACCTCTCCCATCTGTCAGTTATTATCTTGTCATCTTGTCTAGTGACCTCTCCCATCTGTCAGTTGTTATCTTGTCAACCCGTTTAGCGACCTCTCCCATCTGTCAGTTGTTATCTTGTCATCTCGTCTAGCGACCTCTCCCATCTGTCAGTTGTTATCTTGTCAACTCGTCTAGCGACCTCTCCCATCTGTCAGTTGTTATCTTGTTTACTAGTCAAGTGATCACTCCCTTCTGTGGTGTCCCCTACATTATGGATAAACTCCACATAACACTTTACACACTCATCCTGAATCTGTGGTCACCTGAATCTGTGGTCAGTCTAGGTCATATGAGGTCAAGGTTACCACTTGTATTGCTCTGTTACAGGAACCTAGCCTGTACACACTCTTCCTGAATCTGTGATCAGTATAGGTCATATGAGGTCAAGGTTACCGCTTGTATCGCTCTGTTACAGGAACCTAGCCTGTACACACTCTTCCTGAATCTGTGATCAGTATAGGTCATATGAGGTCAAGGTTACAACTTGTATCGCTCTGTTACAGGAACCTAGCCTGTACACACTCTTCCTGAATCTGTGATCAGTATAGGTCATATGAGGTCAAGGTTACAACTTGTATCGCTCTGTTACAGGAACCTAGCCTGTACACACTCTTCCTGAATCTGTGATCAGTATAGGTCATATGAGGTCAAGGTTACAACTTGTATCGCTCTGTTACAGGAACCTAGCCTGTACACACTCTTCCTGAATCTGTGGTCAGTTTAGGTCATATGAGGTCAAGGTCACCACTTGTATCGCTCTGTTACGGGACCTTAGCCTGTACACACTCTTCCTGAATCTGTGGTCATTATAGGTCATATGAGGTCAAAGTTACCACTTGTTCTGTTACAGGACCCTAGCCCCTACAGTTGGAGGGAGTGTGTATGCCTGGTCAATCAGCTACGGTGCGGAACATCTCGGGCCACCGTTTGACCACAACCTGGCGTTCCTCATCTTTGGCTTGGTGTTCTCCATCAGCGTCATAGAGTGCCTTATGCTGCCCGAGAGCCTCAACAAGCAGACCAAGAAATCCTGATTGACTGTCAAGTGTTCCTTGTTTTGTGTGAATGGATCAGGAATGACTGCGATGGAAACATGTTATGCTCGCAAATCCATTAGCCATACGAGAAGTTGTGATATGGCATATGTCAGTACTTTGTGTTCTTGGAGGGAACCTGTCGATTTTGATGTTGTGTTTCTGGATTATGTGAACATGTCCATTGTGGCAGCCCCAATAACATCTGTTCTAATGAGAGCTTTGTGTTCATGGAGATGTAATGTGGAAATTATTGATGTGTTCCTGATTAAGTGAACGAGTCCATAATGGTCGGAACGTGTCATGGAGAGTGTCAGTTAAAATATTGATGTGTTCCTGGTCAAGTAAACAAATCCATCATTGGCCGCCCAAAATACATGACAGGAACATGTCATGGAGAATGTCTGTTAAAATATTGACGTGTTCCTACATTGTGCCAGGAACACATTACAGCTTGTGTTCATGGAAAGTAGTTCTGTTAATCTTTACCGATGTGTTCCTGGTCCAGTGAACAAGTCTAGCATGGCAGCCAATACAGCAGAGCTTTGACAGATAATCGGATAACTCATGCATTGAGTCCATCATGATGGGAATATACAGGTGTTCTTCATGGACAAGAGGGGACATGAATGGAGCAGTCGTTTAAGGCACCTTGATTAGCTGTGCAGAGTTGCGTCCCTTGGGCACGCCAGAAACCTATGATTTGGGGTTCGAATCCCGGTTCCCCCCGATTATGTTTCTAGGTTTGTCAGCACCATACACGTGTTCGTGGGTTTCATCGAAGTGGTAAACATCTGAGACCTGCATCACTTCGGGCTTTCCTCCCACATTAAGCTGACAGGCCGCGATATAACTGGAATAATGTTAAAAGTGGCGTTAAACCCGACTCACTCGTGGACAAGAAATGTGGAACTCACAGTGTTCCTGATCAAGCAGCTGTGTTTACCATGGCAGCTTAAGAACCATGACACATGGAGCAAGCGTAGAGTACAGCTATTGTTCTTGTTTAATTACATGGCTTGATGCACTTATAGTCCATGAACCTTCAGAATCAATCCAGATTGTATGGTGGCCCAGTGGTCAAGGGTGCTACACTTCATTGTGCTGTCCTGGGTTTGAAATCCAGATTTCCTGATTGTTTCTTGTCCTAATTGTTGTTACCATGGTTACAGGGCATACTAATGACCTTTATTGATGTCAGCACCAAGCATTCAGCAAAGTCATATGCCAAAGGGGTTCCAATAGCTTAGGCCAGTGGTGGTTGTGAAGGAAAGGGTGCTAGGACATCATTTGCGGTATGTAAAATAGCCACAATTATGTCATAGCACTTAAACAACAGATTGAAAGACTCCTGTGACATTTGGCACAAACAGGTCAGGCTGATGCATCTTCTATACTTTTAGATGTGGCCCATTTTGGGGCTCGGGTCTTATTACCATTCAGCCTTCTACTCCTTACCAAGTGCTTATATACACTGGAGAAGGTTTAGTAATAACGTAATGTTATTCCACTGGCATATATCCAGGGGAGGACACCTGATGTGTCATCAGGCCTCCTCCTTCAGGCCTGTGAAGATCCGGGGTAGAATAGGACCTCAGCAACATGGGTAAAAGGCGACTATTCTTGTTGTAGGAGGCTACTAACGGGATCGGGTGGTCAAGGCTTGCTGATTTCGTTGATGCAAGTCATCCTATTGATGCTCATGATATCAATCACTGTACTGTGTGGTCCAGACGCGATTATTTACAGATCAATATAGCTGGAATATTGCCAAGGGCAGCGATAAACAAAAAAACAAACAAACAAAAATCAACCTTCCATGTTCTATACATATGTTGTAAATATGACAAAACAGCTTAAGATTATATTATCACAGAGCTCTGGTGCTGCCCTTTATATTGTTGTTGAGCATAATTACTTATTTATGTATTTAGGGTTATCCTGGTTTATGATGGAGGATAAGCACAATGGTATCTTGTTATCCAGATTTCTTCAGCCAGGAAACCGCAGAGGACAATCACCACAATATCTTTTCTAAACTAGTTCATGTTACTTCGTCCCTAGGAATTGTTAGCTTGTCTTATAGTTCTTGGCAGCGTCGGTGGTCCGGTCGTCTAAGGACCCACAATTCAATGTGCAGAGTTGCATCCCATAGAGGTGAGCTAGAAACCGAGGATCATGGGTAATATTAGCCCTGATTATGTTTCTAGGTTTGTCAGAGCCATACCGGTGCTCATGGGTTATATTAGCCCCGATTATGTTTCTAGGTTTGTCAGAGCCATACCGGTGCTCATGGGTTATATTAGTCCTGATTATGTTTCTAGGTTTGTCAGAGCCATACCGGTGCTCATGGGTTTTATTAGTCCTAATTATGTTTCTAGGTTTGTCAGAGCCATACCTGTGCTCATGGGTTATATTAGCCCTGATTGTGTTTCTAGGTTTGTCAGAGCCATACCGGTGCTCATGGGTTATATTAGTCCTGATTATGTTTCTAGGTTTGTCAGAGCCATACCGGTGCTCATGGGTTATATTAGCCCCGATTATGTTTCTAGGTTTGTCAGAGCCATACCTGTGCTCATGGGTTATATTAGCCCCAATTATGTTTCTAGGTTTGTCAGAGCCATACCTGTGCTCATGGGTTATATTAGTCCTGATTAAGTTTCTAGGTTTGTCAGAGCCATACCGGTGCTCATGGGTTATATTAGCCCTGATTATGTTTCTAGGTTTGTCAGAGCCATACCTGTGCTCATGGGTTATATTAGCCCTGATTATGTTTCTAGGTTTGTCAGAGCCATACCGGTGCTCATGGGTTATATTAGCCCCAATTATGTTTCTAGGTTTGTCAGAGCCATACCTGTGCTCATGGGTTATATTAGTCCTGATTAAGTTTCTAGGTTTGTCAGAGCCATACCGGTGCTCATGGGTTATATTAGCCCTGATTATGTTTCTAGGTTTGTCAGAGCCATACCTGTGCTCATGGGTTATATTAGCCCTGATTATGTTTCTAGGTTTGTCAGAGCCATACCGGTGCTCATGGGTTATATTAGTCCTGATTAAGTTTCTAGGTTTGTCAGAGCCATACCGGTGCTCATGGGTTATATTAGCCCTGATTATGTTTCTAGGTTTGTCAAAGCCATACCTGTGCTCATGGGTTGTATAAGTCCTGATTATGTTTCTAGGTTTGTCAAAGCCATACCGGTGCTCATGGGTTATATTAGTCCTGATTAAGTTTCTAGGTTTGTCAGAGCCATACCTGTGCTTATGGGTTATATTAGTCCTGATTAAGTTTCTAGGTTTGTCAGAGCCATACCTGTGCTGATGGGTTATATTAGCCCTGATTATGTTTCTAGGTTGTCAGAGCCATACCTGTGCTCATGGGTTATATTAGCCCTGATTATGTTTCTAGGTTGTCAGAGCCATACCTGTGCTCATGGGTTATATAAGTCCTGATTATGTTTCTAGGTTGTCAGAGCCATACCTGTGCTCATGGGTTATATTAGCCCTGATTATGTTTCTAGGTTTGTCAGAGCAATACCTGTGCTCATGGGTTATATTAGTCCTGATTATGTTTCTAGGTTGTCAGAGCCATACCTGTGCTCATGGGTTATATTAGCCCTGATTATGTTTCTAGGTTGTCAGAGCCATACCTGTGCTCATGGGTTATATTAGTCCTGATTATGTTTCTAGGTTTGTCAGAGCCATACCTGTGCTCATGGGTTATATTAGCCCTGATTATGTTTCTAGGTTGTCAGAGCCATACCGGTGCTCATGGGTTATATTAGCCCTGATTATGTTTCTAGGTTTGTCAGAGCCATACCGGTGCTCATGGGTTATATTAGTCCTGATTATGTTTCTAGGTTTGTCAGAGCCATACCTGTGCTCATGGGTTATATTAGCCCTGATTATGTTTCTAGGTTGTCAGAGCCATACCTGTGCTCATGGGTTATATTAGCCCTGATTATGTTTCTAGGTTTGTCAGAGCCATACCTGTGCTCATGGGTTATATTAGCCCTGATTATGTTTCTAGGTTTGTCAGAGCCATACCTGTGCTCATGGGTTATATTGGCCCTGATTATGTTTCTAGGTTTGTCAGAGCCATACCGGTGCTCATGGGTTATATTAGCCCTGATTATGTTTCTAGGTTTGTCAGAGCCATACCTGTGCTCATGGGTTATATTAGTCCTGATTATGTTTCTAGGTTTGTCAGAGCCATACCTGTGCTCATGGGTTATATTAGCCCTGATTATGTTTCTAGGTTTGTCAGAGCCATACCGGTGCTCATGGGTTATATTAGTCCTGATTAAGTTTCTAGGTTTGTCAGAGCCATACCGGTGCTCATGGGTTATATTAGCCCTGATTATGTTTCTAGGTTTGTCAGAGCCATACCTGGGCTCATGGGTTGTATAAGTCCTGATTATGTTTCTAGGTTTGTCAGAGCCATACCTGGGCTCATGGGTTATATTAGCCCTGATTATGTTTCTAGGTTTGTCAGAGCCATACCTGTGCTCATGGGTTATATTAGTCCTGATTATGTTTCTAGGTTTGTCAGAGCCATACCTGTGCTCATGGGTTATATTAGCCCTGATTATGTTTCTAGGTTTGTCAGAGCCATACCTGTGCTCATGGGTTATATTAGCCCTGATTATGTTTCTAGGTTGTCAGAGCCATACCTGTGCTCATGGGTTATATTAGCCCTGATTATGTTTCTAGGTTGTCAGAGCCATACCGGTGCTCATGGGTTATATTAGTCCTGATTATGTGTCTAGGTTTGTCAGAGCCATACCTGTGCTCATGGGTTATATTAGCCCTGATTATGTGTCTAGGTTTGTCAGAGCCATACCTGTGCTCATGGGTTATATTAGCCCTGATTATGTTTCTAGGTTTGTCAGAGCCATACCTGTGCTCAGTGTATGTGTCTACGACCTGCATCACTTTAGGCCTTCCTCCCCAAGCAGCTGAGAGGAATATGATGATAAAGCCGCCTTGACCAAGATAATCTGTAAGGACAAAATTGATCTTTTATAAATCAGCCTATGGAATTGCTCTGAAGAACTGAGTAATTAATAGTAACTTGGTATTTTTGTGGTTGTACATGGATAGATGTGACAGACACTAGTCCATTAGTCTGAGAATTATGCAAATCAAGACTTTCTGTTTTGTCCAACAACATAAACCATTAGTCCATAATGAGCTCATCTTCCCGAGGCAAGAGCGTCCTCTAGCCTGTTTATCAAAGTCTTGTTTCCACCCTTGCCACATCAAGCCCACTTTGTTGTGCTAAATATGACTGGACTATCACACATATCGATAGTCCAATCAGAGAACGTTGCTCACAAATCCATGGCCGCTGCCATAGCTTTACAAATTTGCGCTGAAGTGAAGTGAAAAATAAAAAATGAAAAATAAAGTGAAGAAAAGTATACTATTCTTGTAAGCAGTGTGATGATGAGAACAGTCATTCTTAAGAGAATGGCACATGTTCGTATGAAAGTGATTTACCTCTGCTTGTTTTTGTGGACACGAATATGTCTTTTCCACCTTTTAAACCCTTTAACAATTGTCTATGTTTGTCTGTTAGGGATGAAATCGTGAATGTTTTCAATATCTGGTCGACTAGGTCAATGGTGGTCAGCATCTTTGTGAAGCCGTACAAGATAATTACAGCGATCTGACTGGATATGGCGTTTTAATTACAAGGGGCACAACTTCGATCTGCGCGAGGTGGCGCCACAATCGAGCCAAGAAAACTTGGCTTGATGGGGCAAGGGTAAACTAGGCTT